ACTTAAGCATATACAGGTCGTCCGCAGAGTAGAGGCGATCAGTCTGGATCATGAAATGGTCCAGGAAAGCCTGCTTCAGACTGTCAAACGTATTGATGGTGCGGGGGCTCAGCCTGTAGAACCAATTCAGGGCCACACCGCTGAGGGTAGATGGGAAGAGGAGGCATATGCCCTCGTCTGTTAATCCTTTGCATCCCATGGCAGACTGGAAACAATGTATGTGGGTGAGGGGATCCTCTGTGCCAGTGTAGAAGGCAATGCGGAGGGGCTGGATTTCCTTCTCCTGGTGGTAATTAAGGATGCGTTCAGTAAAGGGCCCAGGTCGCGGCTTCGCCCAGAGGGGTTGGTGTTGCGCTGCTGCTCATTCTCCAGACGCCGGACCTTCTCAAAGAGAAGTCTCATCGCCGGGTCGGCATGAGGGAGAGTCTCGGTTGCTGGAGGTCTGGTGTGTGTGTGGCCAGGAGCTAGATAAGGGTCGGGTCCACCGAACTCCTCGGTGTGATAAGACTCCTGCTCTTCTGAGTAATCATGCCCCCAGTCATCCGAGTCCCCCATACCCTCTCCCGCAGGCACATGGGTTGGTTTTGGTGGGGGGCCTAGGTGTGTCACTTTTGGGTCTTGGAGATTAACGGGGATAAGAAGGGGCCCCGTCTGACGGTCCAGGATACGATCCCTGCAATCCCTGTAGACCTTTGTTGGTTCATGAGGCCGGTTCCTCGGCGGGGAGATATGGAGAAGCCGCGACTTGGTCGTCTCCGGATGGAGGGGGTCTTTCCCCTTGCTGGGCCTAGGCTGGATTGGAGGGCTATGGTGGGAATGCTCTGGCTGGTTTGGCTGTGTGTGCTCAGGTTCCTGGGTAAGGCTGCGTTAGGAGCCCTGGGCTTGGTTCCGTTCCCAGTTTCGCTCCAGGATGCGGTAGTCGTGTTCCAGCTCAACATTCTTGGAGTGAAGATGGTCACACCTCTCGGACATCTTGACGACACTGGCGCGGAGGAGTTCCACCTCAGCCTGGAGATTGACCTTCGCCGACGGTCCCCTCTGGGAGGTACCCTCCTGGGGGGTACCGCGCTGGGCATCCCGGCTATCCTCAGTAAGCATGGCTGAGTGTGGAGTGAAGAAGAGGCGACGGGGCCGGATAGGTGAAGGAGCCAGCTGGGCTGGGAGAGAAAAATGGGTTTTAAGTATTGGATTCCCACAGACGGCGCCAAACTGTTGATGCTCTTTTTCGGAGAGGGTCAACTTAGAGATAAGGGATTGTCTTTAGCAAGTGAAGGGTCTGGGCCTTTAGTAAAGGGAAAGGGCTAGCCTGCAGAAGACAAAAAATAGGAGAAGCAGTCGTTAAGCTTCGGACACCGGTGTGGTGCCGGTCGAAGGCTCTCCGATGCCTGAGTCAGCTAGGGGTAGTGACTATCGCAAAGTAATAATAATAGTGAGAGAGAAGTCCCCTTTTTCTTGGTTACTGTTCCCTACTTATAGGGAAGTAAAAGTAGGAGGTTTGCACAAAGTTCCGATGTGGGACTTTGTGCAAGTTGCT